GAACCGGCGATATTTGTGCGCGTTTTTTGCAGGTCCGATCCGGGGAAATTGTCCCGGTCCGACCGACGGTAAAATGTCGGAACCCGGGTACGGACCCGGTACCCCGCCGAGCCGAACGACGAAGTTCCCGGTCTCAAATTCCGCACCGTAGCTATCCCGTGTTTGCATGCCACGCATGCAAGCCCTTGCATCCGGTAATGCAAGCCGCAAAGCACCATGCAGTACACGTCGAATCTATCTATTTTTTTCCATTGTGTTTGGCCGATAAGTCATGGTTTGGTCAGGCTCAAAACAGGAGGTTGGGGTGCTTCCGTTAGGTCCGTTCACATGCAGATTGCTTGAAGGTGTCAGTGATTCATCCTTATGGTGCACGCATAGATTTCGGAGATATTGTGAGGTTGAATGGCTAGCTGACGCTCTCGGCGTGCATGGGGACATGCAATAATGTGATAATAATGTCGTAAACAATATGCGTGTGCTGTTCCGGAGCGCTTCTTTCGAACGTGAACATCTACATCCAAAGTTTTGGCTAAGTATGGGTGTATGTTGGCACGAGGCTTCAAGCCACGAGTTCAACAACTTTTGGAGACGTCATGCGGACTAGACCAGTGAATATCATTGGAGATTGCTCTCTGGCGGAATCATGTGATCCTCAAATCTCAATAGAAGGCCGCAATTGAAGGCCGCTTTTGAGACGGTGCTTTACTTCAACAACTTTATGTTCCAATAGTATCCATTTGGCTGCTTACCATTTTTTCCGGCCATTCTAATGCTATTCTTCTTTCCCTGACCTTCGAACCCGAGGACTCCCTTGATGACAATCGTCGTAATTTTCCATCTAAGCTTCAACTCCTTTGCGGACGGCTGCCACGGCACCTCGACTACATGATCCCCCTGAAAGCTGTACACCAGAGGTTCTGCCTCAGCCGTATTCTGCCACTCCAGGTAATACTCCTCTATCTCTTTGCTTGTAACTCCCTGGCTTACTGACTCGCTTTCAGGGATTACCTCGCCCCGAAGCTCGAGCATCCATGTGAGATGCAGGATCCATCGAACAGTGGGGGCATCGTACCCCTTTCTCCCCTCGTCAACCCCTAGTCTAGCCATTTTGAAAGCCACCCTAGCTGTTTCCTCCGTCAGAAGGGCCTTTCCCTCAACCAGCCTTTGCGGCCTACGAAACTGCCCCAATAAGTTACCTGGCACAGTTGCCGGTAAGAACGCCGGTGGTGACGTAGCAACAGTCTTCGTCCTGCGAGTAGGACATGGGAGCATGTCAAGCAATGCTTACGCTCGTTGACCTCGAAAAAAAAGAGGTGTACTCAAGGAAAAGAGGTGTTTTCAACTTTTGCGCATCTTCCGGTCGGTCTGTGTCGTTTTTTAGATGTGAATAAGCAGGTATTGATGCGACTCGTTTGTTCTCAGCTATGCCCGTTGTAATTCGTCACAAACAAAGCCGGCGAGTAAGTACCTTTGGTTTTTTGATTGTGTAAGCGGTGCGGTCCGCTTTGCTCGCTTGAGACAGGGCTGCACCGGAGCTTCCACTTCCTCAACCTCAGATCTGCGAGCAACATCAGGCAGAAGTATAATAAGAATGTAAGGAAAACTTTGCATGTTATTTGAACCATGCTAGAAGGAGCAAAACCATTACAATTACCTACTCCTTTACGACACGCGCTTACCTAGCAGTCTGTTGATCATGCCTTTTGTTCGAGCTCAGGGAGCATGCAAAGTTGCATTTCATAAATCACGACAAAAGCTTACCTGCCAGCCTCCTGAGGTTTGCGTTTGCTTTGTTGAATCGGTTGAGGGGCCGCTCCTTCGACCGCACCCGCAGTTTTGCGGATGGAAGCGACAAAGGTAAGAGAAGGGAGAGGGAGCTGCCCATAACGCAATTGGGTCAAATGAATTGTGTCGTGAAGCTATAAACCGCAAGTCGTCCTTGCTCCTGAACCGCAAGCGACCATGGCGCACCAAAAGAACCAGACGCGAAACAAATTCCTGCATCGACCAAGACCTCAAAAAGGGTGGCGTCATCTTACGTGACCAGGACTCCCTTTTAAAATTTTGAGCAAAAGAACGGGCTCCTCGATCAGGCCACCGACCACTGCCTCTCTTGCCTCTCCCCCGTTTACAAAAACTGATTCACCAATCCCGTTGCGTTTCACTCACGACACGAGCTTACCTGCCAGCCTCCCGCGGTTTGCGTTTGCTTCGTGGACCCGGTGGAGGGGCCGCTCCTTCGACCGCACTCACAGCTCTGCGGATGAAAACGACAAAAGTAAGAGAGGGAAGGGAGATGAGGCCGCCCATTAAGCAGTTGGGTCATATGAATTGTGTCGTGAAGCTGTAAAGCGCAAGTCGTTCTTACCCCTGGACCGCAAGCGGCCATGCGGCAGCAAAAGAACCAGACGCGAACCAACTCCCTGCATCGACCAAGACCTCCAAAAGGGTGGCGTCATCTTACGTGACCAGGACTCCCTTTTAAAATTCTGAGCACAAGAACCGGCTCCCCGATCAGGCCACCGACCACCTCTCTTGCCTCTCCCCCGTTCACAAAAACCGTTAACCATTCCCGTTGCGTTTCATGAATCACGACACGAGCTTACCTGCTAGCCTCTCGAGATTTGAGTGTGCTTTTTGGACCCGGTTGAGGGGCCGCTCCTTCGACCGCACTCTCAGTTCTGCGGATGGAAGCAACAAAAGTAATAAAGGGAAGGGAGAGGAGGGCCAGGAGAGGAGGCCGCCCATAACGCAATTGGGTCATATGAATTGTATCGTCAAGCTGTAAAGTGCAAGTCGTTTTTACTCCTGAACCGCAAGCGGCCATGGCGCAGCAAAAGAACCAGACGCAAAACACAATCCTGTATCGACCAAGACCCCAAACATAGTGGCGTCATCTTACGTAACCACTAAGATTTTGATCAAAAGAACCGGCTCCCCGATCAGGCCACCGACCACCTCTCTTGCTTCTCCCCCGTTCACAAGAACCGGCTAACCAAACCCGTTGCATTTCATGAATAACGACACGAGCTTACCTGCCAGCCTCCCGAGGTTTCCGTTTGCTTTGTTGACCCAGTTGAGGGGCCGCTCCTTCGACCGCACTCTCAATGCGGCTGCGGATGGAAGCGACAAACGTAAGAGAGGGTGAGGGAGAGGAGGCCGCCCACAAGGCACTTGTATCATAAGAGTTGTGACTTGAAGCTGAAAAGCGCAAGTCGTTCTTATCCCTCATCTTCAAAGGTCCATGGTGCAACAAAAGAGCCACACGCAAAACAAGTTCCTGAATCGACCAAGTCCTGAAAAAGTGAAGCGGCGCTGAACA